CTCCACGCGCGCCCGAGCTCGGATTTCAGCCCCGAACCGACCACCTGACCTCAGGTCCGACCCGGACAGCATCCCAGCAGCCCAGACCCGAGTCCAGCGCCTCAAAAATGACCCGAACTTGTTGCCCGGTCCATAGCCGACCCATTTTCCTAGTCTCTATCAAGTTCTGATTTCCGATTTGAACCCTTCGAGAGGTATATCGGCTTAAACCTTACTCCATGAGCTTAATCGAATAATTAGATGAATTTTAAAATTTACGGGAGGAGATTTCGAGCATTATAAGATTTATGGTGAATTTATCGGCTTAAACGACATTAAATTCCATAAATATTGGTTGCTGCCCGGAAAAATGCGAAACTAGCGTGATAAAATTCGTATAGCTGACTTGAGGCGTAGGTTTTAATTTCGTAATTTTTGGTGCTCGTTTAGTATGTTAACTGGATTTTTGAATATGTAGCTGAAATGCCCGATTTATGAGAAATATGATAAGACCTCGGAATTCGATGCAACTTTCACGAAAAATCCTATAAATGCTGAATATGTCGTGGTTTAAATTTTATAATTTTTAGAGGTTGTTTGGCATGCCTACAAATTCGAGACTTTAGCTGCTTTGGGGAAAACCCTAGATTTTATCCGGTTGAGACTTAGCTAAAATTTCTAGAAAATCGAGTTGAACTTAAAGTTTGAGTTTTTGACTTGAACCGAGATAGATAGCCGGGTGAGTAGAGAACCCTAGTTTGACCTTCTTCGGTCAGTCCGGATGAACTCTAGATCCGGGTAGAAAAGTTGTGCGTCGACTGATGTCGTGTCCGTGCGTATGCACCCGGACCACGATTAAGTCGAGTTGCACCCAGTCAGATAAATAAGATCAGATCAGTCAGATAAGTTAGATCAGATAAATCAGATAAGCAGACCAGACTTAGAAATATTTCAGAGAACTCTAGAATGCCTCAAAGTCAGCAAATCTTTTCAGAATAGCTCAAGCATCTAAATCCAGATTAAATGATATTTTTAATCAAGCGAGAGAGAACCGAGTAAGATTTATTAATAATAAGAATCAAGTTTTTATTTGAGCTTAGTACTTAGTACATTTTGCTCAAATATTTATGTAGCTTAAGGAGAGTCGAGCCTCCGACGGCTACCAGTCAGTCAGCACTTGCCTAGCAGTAGCAGTTATCAGGTGGGGGTCACGTACTGGTTATACTTCATCTTTAATTTCCGTACCATGTGTGAGGTATGTATGAGAAATAGTTAGATCATCATGAGGGAGGTCGTGGCGGGCCTTAATGATCCCCCGTGATTCTGAGGGAGGCCTTAATTGGCCTTAATGATCCCCCGGAGTGTGCACATGATTGGCTTTTAAGCCCCAGGGTCTTTATGACCATCAGTTGCCCTAGTTACAGTTTCAGTTCAGACCAGTTATTATATACTTAAAGTCATGATATTGTTATTAACGATGCTATATAATTAAGTACTGGTCTTTGCGGAGTATAGTGGTTTTGCTCACGCCCCCACTACGTTTTTCAGGTGACGGAGCGGCGCGTGGCGCGTGAGATTTCAGTGGTGGTCATGGTCATTAGCAGTCTTTTTGTAACGTATCTGCATGTCATTTATTGAACATGTACT